GTTTTTTTTTTTTTAATTATTTTTATACTTTTATTTTGTTTAAAATGTTTATGGTATAGCTAATAGATCAATCTTAAAATGATAGTATCCCAATTTAAATAAAATAATTTACAAACCATTTAAAAAAAATATATTTTATATTTAATATATTAAAGTATTAAAGGATATAGTATTACAATAAAAGTTTTAAATATTATATTTTTAAAGATTATTTAAAAATAAGTAATTTATTAATAATCAAAAAAAATTTTTTTTAAGTTTAAATATTTATTTTTCAATCATTAAAATTTATAGTAAATTCGTATTTATTTTATATTAATAAAAGTATTTATTTAGCAATTAAATGTTATGTTACAATTTCTTGATTTTTTTTATTAATATCTTAATTTATTGTAAGCACTTATAAAATAATTACTATTTTAAAATAACAGTTTATAATCATAAGAAATTAATATAATTCGATAATTGGATAGTAAACATTATTTTTGTACTGTAAGAACAAAATGCATAACTAATTTTATTATAATAGTATAAAGGGAATTGAAGCAATTTCCAAAAACGTGACTTAAAAATTTAACATTTCGAAATTAAGTTATAAAAAGTTATCTTTTGGAATCATAATTTATTATAAAATAATGAATAAAATTAATCTTTATACAAAACAAAATTATTTAAATATAATAGTATATTTGTTTTTAAAATAATGCATAATACAATTTTAAAAATGCATACTATCAATGGCACTCAGAAAATACTTTAAGTTAAAATTATTAAGATTGTTAATTTTTCTATACGTATTTATGGTAACGATTAATTACTCAAATAATTTCTTATTTTTATTATTATTTTTTTTTTTAATAAAGTAAAAGTATATAATATATAAGTAAATACCAAGATTTTTATGCCATCCTTCAGTAACATGTTCATTGTATTCTATTTGTCTTTAATGAAACAAACTCCTTTTAATATAAAGTGCATCGTCTATTTGAGTACATCTCTTTTGTGCTAAAATGAAAAAGATATGTTTTTACCAATAGCCAACTTGCGCTAAATTTACCTAGTATAATTATAATAAAGTGATACATTTAAAAAAAAAAATAATAAATACAATTTTATTTAAATTATATTCAATAATATGATTTTTTTTTTAAATAATAACACAAATTATTTTAAACAATTGGTAAGTAATCAATAGTTAATAAGTTTATATTTTTTTTTGAAAATTATAAGCTATCGATAATCATAGTCAATTGTAGAATTTTAAATAACCAATTCGTTAATGTAAAATGTTTACGGAGGTAAATTTAGCGCAAATGTGATGTCGGAAAAAATATTCCTTTTTTTTTATTTTGGCGCAAATGAGCTGTACCCAAAACAAATTATTTTTTTTTTTTTTTTTGGCGCAAATGGTTAAAATGGTTAACTCACGATATAAATATGGTAAAAATTTTAATGTTTGTATTGTTTCTATATCATAAATTAATTTTTTTTCATTAATTGAATATAATATGTGTCACTAAAATATGATATAACTACCTATTCCGTGCTGTTTAAAATATGTTATCAACATAATTCTAATAACTGTACATACAGATAGTTGTAAAATATTATGGATATTGAATACTCTAATTAATAATATTGAAACATTCAGTTTCCAAAAAATGTAATTTTTCCAAACCTTAATTTTTTAATACTCCACTAGACATTATTTTCTAACTGTTGATTTTTTGAAAGTTTACTTACTAAAAATTTGTTACAAATTACCGTATTTATAGTACAATATGTAATTATAATATTCAATGCAAACCACGATCATTTTGTAACGGTGTCACCAGATTCATACAATTTTTATTAGGTATATACTAAATGTAAGGTGGTAAGGTGTGTCTCGAAATGTATATAATAATATTCAGTCGAGAAAGACTTAAATAGATCAGCGTATAGTATACCACAAGTCACAACCGGCGGAAGATTAATTCGATTATCTTACATGATAGTATTTCTCCAGTCACCCATACGGTGTGTCGGTTTGTATATGATATGAAATATTTCAACCAGCAAAGATGGTTGATTATGTTTAATAGAGATACCTCCCTGATGTCGAATGACACGATATTCCCAAGGGCTTTAAAAATAATTACGATTCCCGCCGGTCACGTTGGTAAAGTTACTCCATAACGGTATGTTTTAATTAAAACCTTAACCCGAGTACCTACTTTATACGATAGAACATTATGTACGTAGTTAATGTCTAAATACAATGAACAACGCTGTTTCAGAGTGAGTTTAAATCTCCAAACACTTCCTATACGAATAAGAAAACAATATAACATAATTGGAAATAGCACAATAGTATAGAAGTAGGTGGATTATTACAACTTAACATTTTTAGATCTGTCATTATTATAACAAAGTTATTGTACCAGTAACAACAACTTTATGTTTGTTTTGAGACTCTTTAAATTTAAATATTCATAATGTCAATATATAAATATTATAATACATAGTAGGTCAATATAATACATAATTATTAATATTACGTTATAAATAAATGGTACTAATTATCATTATAATAGATGTATGTATATGTATAATTTAAATTATTCTTATGGTTAAAATGTTCAATAAGTTATAATATCTGAAATATTAGAGACATTTCACAAAAATATAATTTATACCGTATTGTCATATTATGAGTTTAATCATATACATGATTTTTAATATAAATATCATTATGGTAGTTGAACTAAATATACTTGTCAAACAATTAAAAATAATCAGTTACTCGCTTTAAAAAGTAGTTGTTATAATATTTATAACACAGAAAAAAAATTCTCTTTTTAAAAATAATTTTTGATTATCTATAATATATTGATAATATGTTGGTCCTAACTACCACATTATGACATCACTAAAAATTGAACCAGTTTGAAATAAAAATTAATCTTTGAAAAAGAATACGTTGGAGGCTATTAATTTAAAATATAAAATACTCGATGATTTACGAATTACGTATATTGTACGTCATGATTAATTCACTTTTAAAATTTGTGTTACTTTTTATATTTTAAATATATTTAAAGGATAGCGTGTATATATACTTACATATTTAACTGCCTAATACAATTACTAAAATATATTATATAATGCTGATACATATTAATTATTAAATTTAATTTTCTTAAAATTCTCAAACAATATTTCATATTTACAATAACCATTATACATCAATTTATTTTTTCTTGTGAAAATTTATTTCTTAAAAAGTTAATTGATTTTTTTACAACAAACATTTTAGATTAGTACAAATATAAATACAATTACAATATTTAACATTATATAATCATTCAACATATTCCTTATTTTGTATACAAATTATTGATGTCGTTATACCGTTAATAAGATTTGATGTTATGTATCGTTAACATAAATTATAAGCGGTCCATTAAACAATGTATTATATTATTTAAATTAAATAACTGGCAGATTACTTATTACTTATACCACAAGGTATATTTTATAATATATTTATATTGCTATTTAAATAATTTATTTTACTATTTTTAATATAGTAGTTTGAATTAAATTCTACCAAAATATTATAATTTGAAACATCATCAAGTGTATAAAATAAAATACATTAAAAGTGTCAAATATCCATAAATAATACTTTTTAATTCCAAAAACACAACCAAAATCGTTATTCTTCGACTAATTATCTAAATTTATAATAAATACCTATAAAAAAATGCTAATATATTTTTTTTTTAGATTGTTTTTATTCCAATATGAACCATGTATTATGAATCATAAATTATTTATGCTTTAATATAGCGATATTTGTAATAAAAATGAAAGCATTATCTATGACAATTAAATAATGTATACGTTTTTAACCACAATATATTTTGTAAACTTTTCTAAAGCTATAACTTGATCTAATATGCTATCAGAAACAATCCTCTAAATTGAAAACCTAAGCACTATTACTGCTTAAAAAAAAAAAAAAAAAAAAAAAAAAAAAATGATAGATACATAAAAATTAAAAATAACGTATCATTGTGAAATTAATATATTTACCTCTTTACTCGGAATTTTAAATAAGGATAAGTACAAACTATACATATACGATTATCACTTAACTCAGATATTAATCCCATGAGCCAAAAATGATATTTTATAGAATATTTGTTACTATTTATCTTTTAACATATAAATATTATCATATTTGTTGTGCTAATATAATTTATTAACATAATACAATAAATACATGTGTGTTATTACGTATATTAAATCAGGAACCAGAGTTGTAATGAAAATGATTCTTTGTAAAGAATAATAACAATTCAATTTTCATAGGTATCTGTTTAAATTTAAACTTTAAAATTAAAAATAAATTGGATAATATATTTCAAACTGTCTAAATCTAAGGTTAAAGGTTCCCTACTGATTCATTAGAAGTTTCAAAACTTTGAAGTTACTGTAGTAGCTTTTAGGATTAATATTATTCAAATATTCTAATTTCAATAACATAAAATACATATTCAAGCAATAGTTACATATTTTATGTAATTTTACCATATTTGCTGCTCGTTTGTACATCAACTCTGTATAATATAATCATCATGACATGTTAACTTTTTTTTATATATAAATACATACATATATATATATAATAGCATGTTAAGAGTACATAATTTAATAATATATATATATAATGTAATGCATGCATTCATATTTCACTAACTACATATTACGCCTTTTTTATTATGAAAATGCTCTATTATTCAACCAAACGCCTAGCATATTTTATTTTATTATTTTAATTCCTATGAGAGAACTATTTTATAGTATTACTATAATGATATTGTAAATATTGTTGAATCAGAAAACCATTTAAATTAAAACAATATATTATCATAAAAATATAATTTGTAATGAAAATTATATATTATTGATTAGTTTGATTTATACAAAAAATTATTCTATATGGGATCCAGGCGGGAATCCTGCTCTCAGCTCAGACGTTGGCAGCTCAGGGAACTCAGGCGCGTCGGGCACGACTCAGACGTGCATTGACAGAAGCTGCGAATTCAGACACAGTTCCAATCATCAAAACGGTACAGAAAAAAAAATACACACACACACAATACTTTAATACTCAACACACATGTTTATGGTTTATCTGAAATTTTTTTCACCGACGCCATTTTTATTGAATACACATAAAAATAGCACAAGTTTTTGATCACCTCCGGCTTCTCGGACATTTAGCAATTAATTTTAAATGCACGAGCTTTGAATGCAATACTTAATATGTTCCCTCAATCCGTAGTAAAAACTTTTTACCAATGACATGCTGTGAGTGAAACAGATAAACGACGCTTCAACGAACATGAGTCATTGCCTGCTATTTTTATTGGTCCCTGGTTATATTTTCTCTTACTTTTATTTTTGCAATAACTTTAAATTGTGACTAAAACGCACATTCTGTTATAGTAAAAATATATATATATATATAAAAAAAAAAAAAAAAAAAGCACAATATGATAAATTACTCACTATTACGATCTTTTCTTCAAACAACAAAACACTCAAAAAGCGAATCATTCATATTTTTACAAATCTCTATATTTGACAAAAACATTCTTAAATGTTTTCTATAATATATGTATTGTAATTACACTTGTTTAGTTAATTAATACTGATTGGTACATTCGATGTAATAAAATCAACGTTTTAACTATCATGATAAAATGTTGAATTATCTTTTCATTTTGGTGTGTCAGATGAATTCATTTATTTTTGAAAATGTAAATTGAAATGGTAATTTATTTGATGTGATTATATAACATAAAGTAAAAAAAAGAGAAAAAATAGAGAATTACACCAAAATAAGTAATTCTTAATTTGAAAAATAACGAATAAATAAAATATAATGTTTATTATTATGTAATATAAAAATTTATCCCAATATCAATATACTTAATACTTATAAGATATAATCACAGAGATCTTGTGCAAAGAATATTTTAAGAATTATCAACTATAAAAATAATAGATATGTCATTAGGATACCTATATAAGAATTTAAATAGTTATAAATATAATGTATATAGTATGGTGTTCTAAAAACAATTAATTCAATTTTAATATTTATAATTTTTTATTGGAAAGTGATGTTATAAAAACGAATAAGCATACATTATATACGAGTATATTTTAGTACTTCTTACACGGATGATATCGAGTATAACTTATTGCTGATTCATCGTAATTGAATTAAAATTAAGTGATAGTAGATGAAGTTAGTTTTAATTGATCTGGTGTTTATTAAGTCATCTGTTGGCATTTGTATTCTTTGTGTAATATGATAAACTATTGAAAAACGATTGAATGAAAATCCAGATGATATAATAAAGAAATGTATTCTATCCCTCTATAATTTTTAATTAGTATTTAATATAGATACTATTTTAATTGAGCAAAAAATGTATTGGATAAAAAAATTGAACTCATTCTTAGAAAATTAAACATATTTAGATAAATTTAAATACAATTTGTTAAAGCCTGAAAATTATTTATATTATAAAACTGCATTTATTTACTCACTTATCATAAAACCGTATGATGGTACTAAAAAATTATATTTATAGTTAAGTTCAGAACTATTCTTAAAAAATGTATTTAATTTTTTATGGATGCAACTATTTTATTTTCAATTAAAATTTCGTAATGATCTACTTAAGCTATAGATAATGATAATTATTATTTTATAACAATATTATGTTAGTATAATGTTATTGCATTTTTTTTTTAAATATTTTTATGAAAATTGGTAAATATTATTATGTAATACTTTTTGATCATATTTTATACCTATTAAATCATTCTATTATTTTAAATCAACAAAATAAAATTTCGTTATTATATAGATTAATGTATTTTTTCTTTTTGAATGCATTGTCACTAAAAATCGTTTTAATCATATCAATGGTTTATAAATAATAAAAATATATTAAAACTCATGTCATGCAATACACATTACAATATTACACATTGCATTATAATATTGTTCACGATGATAAAATATAATCCATGGCCATCATCCATGACCAACTCATGGACCCTTGTCATTATAGTTCCATGAATATTTTGTAATTGAAAAAAAATGATATGTTGTATAATGAACTTGTTCATATATAATTATTATTGAATTTGTATATACACATATATATTTGTTTTATAAATATAAATAAAACACAGTTTTCATACATTATTGAATATTATAATAATGAAAGATAAATTTAAAAAATCATAAATAGTTTTAAAATACTATGTTAAAATCTTGATTAAAAAAATACAATTTAATCTATTTAAGATCAAAAAATTTACATTATTATTATTATCTGTTACATTTTATTCTAATATTAAATATTATGAATTTCATATATATTTTTTTTTTTTTTTTTGATATTTACCTTTATTATTTTTTTAGCATAAATTATTGTTAATATTAGTCGAAAGAAAAATAAAAATATATAACTATTTTAATATTAATACATCTACTTTATAAATGTATATGAATAAAATATTATAAAAATATTGGCAATTCTTAAATATGATAAAATATCTGTTTTTGAGAATATTATTTCTTGATTTTTCCCCCGTGGTACTGAGAGTATATATTTCTAGCATGCCTTAGCATTTATTCAATAATATATATATTAGCTTAATTTATTTTACATATTCTAACGCAATGACGTTTTCAGCTTCAAAATGTATCAGAAAAAACAAATGGTATGGCCAATACTGTGTACTTTGTCTTTTAGTCATATTATTTTCCCTAAATATAATCACTAATCAGTATATATTTGTGATAACATAAATCTACAACATATAAATAGAATATATTTTTTTATTTTTTTTTGTTATTTTTATATTTCTATAAGCATTGTTCCCAAACGATTTTTTTATTTAAATACTATAAATTCACAAATCGTTTTACTACGTCACACAGTATATACATATTGAAAAAATATTTACTGAATAATTAATGCAATACGTATTCAAATCAGCAATACCAAAAAAAGAAAAGAAAAAGATAGATAATTAATCCTTTTTTTCTTCGTTATTATCATGTGATTATGAATTGTGAGTGCGGAGGAGAAGTTGTAATTAACAACTTTGAAAATTTCCATAAATAAACCTTTAAAAACTACATAAAAATAAATGATACAAACACACACAGATTATACATATATATATATATATATAAATATAAAAGAAGTATTATAGGTACTTGATGTATAAATATAGTTTATAAAATTATTTTTATTTTACTGAAATATAATTTACTGGCAAGATGTCTTCATTACCATCCAATTACTTATATATATATATAATTAAAAAATATGCATTTAACACCCAGCTTAAATTTGCTCTTAAATATACGTAATTTATGATGTTTTTAAAAGTATACGCTGTTGTAACATTTAAGAATAAATTTTTTGTTTTGATATTTGTTTGGTATTTAAATCTTTTAACAATAATAATTTATTCATATAAGTAATGAAACATATCAGTCAATTTTTAATTATTGATAGTTTTTCCATAAAATTATATAAAATACCTATATTAAATTGTAATCAAATTGGGTATTTTTGTGTTATATATTTTGTATCTGTTATATATAACAAAAACTATAATAAGTACCTAATTTAAAACAATGCAGTTAGTTAGCATAGATAGACATATTTTTAACGATAATTTTTTTTATCTCTTTTTTTATTTAAATAATACAAATTTTAAATCCTTTATAATTTTAACAGTTATATATGTTCTAAAAGTTAGACGCTGGAATAATTGTTTGAAAAAAATAAAATCATAGGTAAGTTAAATTTACAATTCATAAGAATAAAAAATAAGGTTCTATATAGTATATAATTTAGTGTATGGACTATGTACTTATATAAAATGTATTATAATATATGCATATGAATACTCCGTTTATATAACATATCATGTTTATATTTATTTATGTACAAAACTGGTTTAAGGTATAATATATTATATATTCATATCATGTAGGTTGGTTATGTACGTTAAACAGTATTATCATTTCTAGATTAGTTTATCGGAAATTGGTCAGCCACAACCTACCCTTCGGGTTAAGTTAACCCAACACTATTTCAGCATAGTCATATTGTTGTGATGCAATATAAAGGAACTGTATACATTATACTCATTGCGGATGTAACGACTTCCTTGTGTGTTTTCCTGGACCGTAATATCCGCTACACTATGCAAATTGTACGGATGTCTATTAACCTATGTAACAGTGTTTTCGACAATACTGCACTATTTAGCAAACAAAATGTTTTTATAAAAGGTTCTTTTTTTTGATATATGATGATAACCTTTTTTTTTAAAACTGAATGAAATTCAAATTTTATGTTATCACGAATATTCCAGTATGGAATAATTCGATATATTTTCTTGCCCAAACGTCAGAAAAAAAAATAGGAAGAAGAAAATATTCAGTACGATGAACTGTCTTCTGTATACAGTTAGAATGTATAGCTTATTTACACTAGGAATGTATTCAAAAATATATTTATTTTTATAATCTAAACTTTAGTTATCAAAATCATTGATATTCATAGAAATACTACGAAATATTTAAATTAATTTTCTACCAAAAAACATATACTCATGAAGTATAATATAACATGTTAACTTTAATAATATTATATAATAAAATTATTATTTTTAATGTCTATATAGTATTCGGATTGGAATTTAAATAACCAATTAAAAATTGTTGTTATAATATAACAAAAAGTTGTGTTTAATAATTTTATTCGTGTATTTAAAAAAAATAAAATATATTTGTTATTATTTAACAAATAGTAAAATAAAATATTACAACAATGATTTTTATATTCAATTTATAAAATGTTTGTATATTTTATAGCTGTATTAATGTAGTTCATAAATTTAACCTATGTCAGAAGTATTTTCAAGCCTCGAGACATTAGACTCAAAAGGACTCTATTTCTAACAACTTTTTTTATCACACGTTTTTCTGAAAGCTTTACGATTTTTCTAGTGTATACAC